ACAGGCTGAGCCCCCTTCCCTCCCCTCGCGCTGGGACGCTGCCTGAGGAGACTCGAGACTGAGAGCCCTCTCCCATCTTCTGGGGTGAGTGATGATTGCACATTTGTACATCAGAGCTAGCTAAAAATCCCACACTCTAGTAGAGAATTTCCTGTACTGACATCCAAAACCTGCTTTGTAAATGTTGCATTTGAATAAATCATACTGTTTGTGAACTCGACTACTTGTTTGGGGGGAGGCGATCGGACCTACAGTTGACAGACTGTTCGTGAATCCGATACTGCCAGAGTCGAGCTTATAGTTGATTACACTATTTGGGAACTCGATTCGCTCCTAGGAAGGCGATCGGACCTACGGTCCACGGACTGTTCGTGAATCCGATACTGCCAGGGTCGAGCTTATAGTGGATCACACTATTTGGGAACTCGATTCGCTCCTAGGAAGGCGATCGGACCTACAGTCCACAGACTGTTTGTGAATCCGATACTTTTTTTGATATCTCCTTCCCCCCACCACCACCACTACCACTACGGCTTTCAAACTGCAACATTTTCAACACAGTACCCCAGGAGATATTATTTCTTGAAACTATGAAAATAATTAGTTTGTAAAGACTAACTTCCAAATTTTAAATGTATGCATTTTTTAATCCAACTTTTTCACTGGCAAACTCAGGCAACACTAACGTATGGCTGAAAGAAAAGCACCTCTCCTAAAGGACTAAAGTATTGCTTGAAACAGTTTATTCTGCATACAACACACGAATAAAAGAAACTAAGAATACATCTTCCCTTTACTACCGTCACCATGACTTCAACTATTTTTACCACACTCTCCAGCAATTTTCTTGAGAGTCCTTTTATGGACTATTTAACTATTTAACTATTGCATTGCAGCAACTATGAATGTATTTCATGTCATCAGCCTAAAAACATTCTAAGAAATTTTTAGAACTGACACTACCAAATTTTGTACCACCAGTGCAAACAAGAGCATTAAACAGCTTTAGAGTCGGCAGGAAGAAGAGATAACAAGTAAACTGAATTGCTCAACATAAAGATTCAGCAAAACCTTCTATGGAGCTACTATTTCTCTACACTGATTATAAAGACTACCTCAGATTTAAATATGTTTAACTTGCAGATATATCCAATTAGGCAAAACAAATTTTATACAAAGAATTCAAAGTAACAAGCTACTTTGCCTTGTTATTCTATTTTTATATGATACATTTTGGTTAGATTGCTATCGTTGCTATAAAATAAAGTTGCTAAAAAGGAAGAAGCCTCAATAAATCATTTATTGAGCATTCCTATAAGGCTATTAACAAAGTACACCCTGTGAGAACATGAAATTTTTATGTAAGGAGCATATATGCCCATAGTTCACTAGGCTAGCACACAAAGCTAGTGACAAAGAAGACACCATTGTTGCTTCACATTTATTGAATGGCAGTGAAGCACTTTTTTTCTACAAAAAAACATGATACAATAAGTTGTCTTACTAATGCATCTCCTTTTAAGTATTCAAGCAATTGTGATGATCTAACTTTTCATGATACATGATCTCCTCCTACATTTCTACCTGGTAAAAATCAAGATATTTAACAGCTATTTTTCAAATTTTCCTTTTCTTTTTATACAGCTATATTTGAAGAAATCAACCCTGAAGAACAACTTGTTTTATCTGCAGGTCAGGGGATATGGCAGCCAAGAAAAAAAAAATCCATGAAAGAACTGAAAATCAAAAATTCATATAATTCTGGAACAAATTCTTTAACTCTCAGCTGCAATGAAATTCACTATGACTGATCAGAATAAAACAAAATCAGAATTACAGACAGTTCAGTGAAAAAAAAATTGAAAACAAATGCTAGGGTAGATATAAATATATAGATATAAAAGTTTCAAAAAAATGAAAATGCCCTTACAGAAAATCAACACAATGTCCTTAGTACATAATACAGTGTGCTATTCTAGTAACCTCATCCTTAAGAGACACACCAAAATAGAATGAATTAGTGATAAAAAATAATTACAGACACTATGAAACACTGATAAGATTATAAGAGAAGACAAAGCCTTTGCATACAACAGAGGAAACCAAAGAGAGCCATAATTAAGGCATACAAGCAAAAAGGATAATAAAATAAAAGTAATCACTAAGTCGTTTTGCAAAAACAGCTGCCTGCCGCTACTTAAACTGAGGATTAGAAAAGTGGTCTGAAAGTGTGAAGCTTCAGCTCAGTTCTCATCTTAGGACATTCAAATGCACAGGCCCCACGTTCTAGGAGACTATCATAGGTCTACATATCATAGGCCAAGATATACGATAGCCAGGACAGAATGGTCTTCAATTCATCCTGTTAAAGCTATAAGGACCAGAAAACCACAACTATAGCATATTAGAACAAGGAAACAGTTGAATATAAGAAAGGCTGCATTCCAGAAGAGCAAAATTAGATAGATAGTTTTGGCACTGAACATAGTGCTGTTTTCCATCAACTTTTCCAGAAACAAGGCTTAGAATCTGGACTGGCCCCTCGCTACCAAGTACAGATTCCATAGCCAGGTACTTTCATTTCCATCAAAAAGAAGGATTTCTACTCCTCAGAGAAAGGTTTTTTGAATCATAAGTGAATGGACATTTTATTGAAAAGGTCTTGCCTGTAGAGTTTCAGAAGAAGTGCATTTAAAGTATTAACTCTACATTCAAAAATTCTAGAATCAAAATTTTTAATGACTGTATTATGCTTTCACCCAACTTTTTTTTTAAGTATGTAACAACAAATATAAGAAAAAAGATTCAGGTACTTACTACACGCCAAAAACTGTTTTAGTCATTCAAACACTGCATGTAAAAAACCCTGAAAAATAAAAAAATATACATATTAAAAGGTGTATTCTGTACTGCATTGAGAAAGATAAAACTGTTTAGACATAATAGTAGCTCAGAAATCATTTCAGTATTATGTAATCAGTAGATTCGCTTAGTTTATTTCATGAGAAAAATTACTTTTCTATTAGCTAGCAGATTACATCAATGACCCGAACTGATTTTACTAATACAACACAAACAATACAGCATCTCTAATAGAAAGATGTATGCTAGATAAAGAGGTGCATATACATTGTTTATAAACTGTTTACTTACTTCCTCCTAATCTCACAAGATAGAATCTAGCAGGTCTACCTGTTCCCAAGTTACTAATTTAGCATGCAGCCATGAAGTACCCAGTTCTTCCATCAAAACAGGGAGTGTATGGGAGTAACCAGTAAAGCTTTTTCTTTTTTGTTCAAATGGGATGCATACCACAAACTTATCTCATAAAAATGAACATAAATCCCACAAACAAATATGTCATTAGATTTATCATTAGGATCAAAACATCCTCTTGAAATGATGGGGGCGAGTATGCATGAGATATCTGCCAATAGACAAGAGGGGTGTCCCTGAGATACAAAGATGGATACAAAGGTGACCTTGAGGCAGGTAATCCAAGGAACATTGCTGTCCTTATCACAGGATAGTCATGGCTTTTCACCAGGTGCTCTGATAGAAAATGTCAGGATTTTGTTTGACAGAATGGAAGAAAGCGAGTTCCCAAAATTATTTAGCACTTGACTTACAGCCTATTCATATCTTCCCCCAGCCATGAAATGCTTCAGGAAAGAGGATGTGGGCAGAATGCACTGGTGGTGAGCTAGACCCACTCCAAAGCTGCATGTTAAGCACCCTGATCGAGACCTAAAAATGGCTCACGCCAAAAGATCTAGAAACGGCTCATTCCAAAATACAACCGAAGAAAACATCAACAAACACTCAACATCTATCACAATGTGTTTTGTTTGTTTTTAAATTTGTTTGGTTTTGGTTTTAGACCTAGATTAGTTTTCTGAAGGTGCACAGGTGAAGGAAATCAAGACCACAATCTGGTAAACCATAGAAAACAAATGTAAACACCCAAAGACCACAAGTAGAACTCACTATTGTATACAAACTAATGAGTAAAATTTAACCTATGTATTATCTGCCCTGTATATATCCAATTCTTATTCCAAAACTTCAAATCATTCTACAAAAGCAACTATATAGACACTTCCCAAATGCAGCCAACACGAAGGGAATTTAACTGGCTTTTTATTTGGCATCATGCAGTTACACCGAAAAGAATAAAATCTGAAATTTCTTTTGCAGGAACTCTTCTAGAGAGTTAAAGCCAAGACAAACAAAATATTGACGTATACACAATATTGCACTAGTTCAAATACCTTTAGGCATCTAATACACTAAAATGTCTTGTGATGATTTTGGCAGCACTACAAATAAACGTATATCACTTACCATCACCTCTCCACTCCAATGAGGTTCTACAAACCCATGTATGGTCAGTTTACGAAGGACTGGAGCAGAGGGGAGAGAAAAAAAGTTATTTGTGTAGATATTTTTCAGTGTTTGCTCCAACAAACTTCCAGATATACGACTAAAACAGTTTTGTACCAGGGTTGCTTCAACCATACTTAAAAATAAATCTCTTCTTGTTGAAATTACCTGAACGTTACATATGATAAACGGTGAAGAAAACTCCTAGAATTCTTGAATGGGAACAAAAGATTCTGCAATGATTTTAAGTAGCAACCCTCCTGAGAGGCTCTGTTACAGAAAAAGGATCATCAGCTCTCCCATTAGACATCTCTGTGTTGGGAAGTGTTAAGATTCTTTCCCAGATAAGTCTTGACTATTAATTGTGAAGAAATTTATTTCATCCCTTATATTTAACACCACTTTACATTATTACCTTTCAATGACAACAATGTTCTTTCTAATGAATTTATGGCTGCAGCCTCATTCCCTGTAGAAACTTGCTGTAGGAATGTATCTGTGTGATGATTCCACAAGGAACATGCAAAATTGTAAATACCAGATGCAAGCTGCAAATAGGAAAAACAAAACAAAAAACAATAAATTTTATTTTCTGCTTTCAGCTATAGCACAAATTTCTAAATTTTAAAGGCTAGTTTAGAGTTATATTGCTTCACATTATAAAAGAAGATGGATTAAATAACGTTTCATTTGCTTCTCTGTTGTATTTAATTCTATTGATCCAAACATGTCTTCCCCAAAATTACCTCATCTTAACTTGAAAACATTATGAGAAAATAATTCGTTTTTCCTTACCACTAGCTTCTGTGACTCTACCACTTAAAAAATAGCAATCCCTTCCCTTCTCACCCAATTTACAACTCTAGCCACAGGTCTATAACAGAGTATTAAGGCTTCAAAAAAGTTTCATCTCTCATACTGTGGGGTATGGAAGTCTAAGAACCAATTGTTTTTAAAGAACACATTGAATTATGAATCAAAACCACTCCTCTAAAAGCAGTGTAAATTTATATATAATCTGCTGTATGGCATGATAATATAAGGCTGACGTGCATATATCACGCACCAAAATGCCTGTACATGAGGCTCTACTTCTAAACACCTGCGATTTGAATAACACTGAAGTTACATGCAAAATCAATAAAGATCTCAAAAACATTTTACACTTGACTTTTCATATTGTGCATATATCCAAAGTAAGAACATCACTGTTTCAGAAGGAAACATTAAAATCTACATGCTTCTCATTCATTCACTGATAGCAAACCACAGGCAGCAGGCAAATAAGCAAAATTAATTATTTCCTGGCACTCTGCAATATTACACATTGCATTACTTACATCATAAAAGAGTTTCCTATCTGCAGCAAGTTGCTTGGATGCCAGGGTCTTTGTAACATGATAGAAGGTAAATAACACACTGTGTTGTTGAAGGTCATCTTGGACTTTCACAGATTCCAGAAGAGTGGGAATAAGTTCTGGCCACTGCTTTGGGCAGTCCACCCTAGTGACCTTGGCAATCAGTACAGAGATCTGAGTTGCTATCTGAGAGAAAAGAAGAAAAAAAAAAAAAAACACCAGAAAAAAACAAAACATACACACACATAAAAAAAAAACACACCAGAAAAAACAAAACATACACACACATACACGAAAAACAGATATCACAAAGTCAAAGAACATTAAGAAACATATATTATGGAAAACTACTTTTAAAATTTGCAAGCACCTAAATAAAATGTGAATTGGTAGTTTGGGGATTTTAATTACTCTAAAATTTGATGAATACAAACCAACAACATAACAGGAAAAAAATAATGCTTTTTAAATTTAATGGCAATATTTTATTTAAGTATTTAATATAAAACTATATTGCTTAAATTTTATAGAAAGACAACTCCAGTCAATTTTTCTAGATATCTTATAAACAAATATGAAATATTTTAGTACATTTTACTTAACAAACTTTTCCAACTTTTTCTATTAAAGATATAGAAAGCTGAATATAATACCCCTATTACTGCTAGTCCTGTATATAGTTTTTAGCTTTTAGAAACTCTTCTCCTATATATGTAGCACTATAAGTCAAGTTACAATACTGTCAAGTGTACCATATTGCTGTATCAGCAGGTAATCTGATAAAATACTGATGGAGTAGTGAGAAAACACTTTGATTAAGCAACTTGAATTGAATTTCATCTACAATATATTAGTGGTCTAAGGGGGGGAGGAGGATCGGAGACAAGTTCTCACTTCAACAAAGAACTCTCTAAAAGGCGTGTCATTATTAAGGGTGTCAAAGCCAAACTGAATTGCATACCTATTGCACACCAGCAGCATTTTTAGGAGAACAATACTTCATTTATCACTAACCTGATTCACTGACTCATTAAAGTTAGTAATAAGTCCCTCACACAATGTAGATTTTTCTTCTTCAGAAAGGGCACTGTTAAAATAGGATATATTTATCAGAATATCATTTCACTTTACATAAAACCCAACTATTAAGTCATATTAAGCATTGCTTTGTCACAAAAGTTAGAACGATCATTTCCATTTGACTGTATTTGGATGAAGACTGCTTTTATGCAGTTTTCTTGAAACTAATGTATTACAATTTGATAAACTATCAAGAGAACACCCTTTGTTTTCACCATCTCAGAGACATTTGGAACAGTGAAACAAAGATAAATATATATGAGGCCTTTTAACATGAGGGCTTTATATTTTCTTTTTATGTGGCCTTTGGGAACACAAATTTTAAGCCATAAAGGTAAACTTTCATTCAAATGCAGCTTTAAGCTAACTTTAGATTTCCTTTTAAGTGACCAATTTATCAGCTTAAAAGTATAGATTACTGTATCATACTACTCTTGCTCTGCTTTATACTGCATTCAACTCTAGTAATTTACTTCAGATCTGAATATAACAGGCTACTTTTAGAAATTCTTTGTCAGGATTTATAAATTATACTATCAGGAAAAAAAAAAACTTTCATTTACTGATAGCACCCAAAAAGCTGTCTCTGGAACATGGAAATATTTAAATCAATTAATGTTATTTAAATTAAACTATTTTACTTACAATGCAGTGATTTAGATGCAATCATTGCATTTCAAACAAAGTCTAATAGCTGCAAATTAAGAAAATTAAATACATAAATACAATCACTTGCTGCACTCAGTTATCTAACACACTAACCTACTGCTTTTATACAACAGACTTTAAAATGGTCCCTAAAGCTCCTTAAAAGTCACAGGTTCTGTATGTAGGGTGCATTAGCCGGGAAGCTAGGGGTTAAATAGCTAATGT